GGGGAGGAAGGATTGATGTTCAGTTATGTTCTGATTCAGGTGTAGTTCCAAATTTGAAATCTGTGCTTTCCAGTAAGTAGTATTCCCAACTCTGAAGTTTTTGGACAGACATGGGCTGGAACTGGAGACAAGCACTCCAAGAGGAGGTCTCTGTGAACAAGGCACTGTGTCAAAGATGAGGGAATACAAGGTTGTGTGGTGGTGGCAAGATGATGGGAACAGGTCTTGCGTCTGAGTCTTTCTTCCCTCCTTGTTGAAAGGAAATTAAACAAATATTTGTTTTTAGTGAATTATTACTTTGTTGTCAGTTCCAAGTGAGAGCTGATAGACTTAACTGATTGCCTTGTGCTACCAAACAATATTGACTAAACAAAGATGTGTTGTTACATATATGATGGTCTTGAACTTCTGAAGCCTTTCCTGTAATCACTCATTGGAACGGAGATCCTTTCGCTTTCGGAATGCATTTTATCTACTCCTACCTCCTCATCAATATCACAGGTGTCTTCCTGTCTAGTTACTGGTGTGCCCATGAATGTGAAATTACCGAGGTTTTTTTTTGCGAGGTAGAGGGCGTGTCAGCTGTCCATTCACTAAAAAAATCACCAGGGGTGTATTATATGATACAGTGTTGATAGTGTTGTTTGTTTGTGGGCTTATGGGGTTTGTGCCACTTGCAGGACTAGGAAAGGAAAGTTTGAGTGTTTATGGTGTATTTGTTAGGTTTTTAGCTTTGGCACACAGAAGGTGTGAGTTCATTTCCCACTTGGTGAAGTTTTTATAGAGTATCTCCATCTGCATGTATCACACTCAAGCTGGGTTTGCTCTGGTGGGCAGGGTCAAAGGAACCAGCCTCTAAAATGATAGACATTTTGTGGATGGAGCTGAAAAATGATTAAGATATATGTGATTTGATATGAGAGGAAATGATGAAGGTTTTTCCATAACAATGTGGGCTCTGTAGTCTCAAGGAAAGTCAGTTGTGTGTGGCAATGAGGTTGCACAGGAAAGGCTTCTGTGGTTTCGTTCCTTTAAGTTACAAAGATCAGTCCCATCTGCCTGGTTGTAATGAAGGGAATGTTATCCCCTCTGCCACAGCCCACACATGTGGCCCAGACCATGTCCAGTGCCCGGGCAGCAAGCAGTGCATCCACAGCTCATGGCTGTGTGACGGGGAGAAGGACTGTCAGGACGGCTCAGACGAGGGCAACCATTGCTGCACTGATGGAGTTTGTGGTGAGTCCTCATCATCATCATCATCATCATCATCATCATCATCATCATCATCATCATCATCATCATCTTTGTCTTTATCACCCTGCATCAGGGTTTAGGCAATGAACGAACTCTTTCCGCTATTCCCTATCCTGGGCTAGCTGGCCTCTTGATATTATTCCATTGTGTGAGTCCTGCCCACGGTTTGTTTCTCCTCATTGTCTTTTGTCATTTGTTTATGTTTGCTGGTATGTGTGTTCAGTTCTTGAGGTTAACTTCTCACTTCTCCCTGTCATTTAGGGTGATTGGAGGACCCCACTAGTAGGTTGAAACTTTTGTTCTTTCCCTCTATTGTTGTTTTCTGTCTGTCTTGATTTTTTCCTGCATTAAATGATTGTTATTGTGTCTGAGCTCCTTTTTACTCAAACAAAAAAAGTAAACAAACAAACAAACAAGCAGGCAAACAAACAAATGTCATCTACAGTTGTTTGTATCCAATGCCCACTTCCTACTTGTGTTGACAAGGACTACACTTTTGTTCAATTTCCAGCTGTAAAACCCTAAAAATTTCCTCGTGCTGTATGTAAAACTGACATCTTTCATCAGCTTTGTCGGTCTCTTCCTTTCTCCTTTTGTATCCTTTTATTTATCTTTCCTATTTCTAAGTGTACATCTTACATCATAAATGTCTGTCTGCTGTGACTCTTTCTGTTGCGATCTTTCATGTGGCATTTTCTCTCTCCACTTTGCGTGATGGAGGGGAATTATGTAACTGTTGTGATGTCTGTCTAATATATCCTCTTGTAAATCTTGTTCATTATAGCTTGTTCACTGACGTCTGACCGCGTTAAAAAAATTCTACCCCCGGGGCGGTTCCACTGACTGAAGTGTCTTTAGGCCATTCCCAAAGGGGGAACATTTCTCTTTCTAATGCACAGTAGAATTGTAAATGGGCTGATCCAACAATGTCATGCTCATAACTGTGCCTGAATTACAACTGGGAACTGCAGCTTTTTCTTTCCTAATCCTTACTATCGTCATTTTTCTCTACTTCTTTTGTATGTTTGTCACACTCTTGTGGCCCGCTATTTCCGGGGTGCCTTGAGAGTCGAAGCAGACTTTGTGCTGTTGAAGCTAGAGAAGTGAGCAGAGTAAGTCTGCTTCTCTCTGTTGACATCCACCCCTTGGTGCTCATATGACCTTATGCAGTTGCGAGCGCCGAAAAACCTCTACTAACAAGTGAACAAACTATAAATAAACATTCAGTGTGGTTTGTTGGAGGGCACCATTTGTCGGTTCTACTTTTCTTTTCTTTCCCTATTTTGTTCATATGTGTGTCTTTGGCTTTCCCCCTGCGCTAAATGATAGTTATTTTGACAATGTGCTTCTTTTTATTCAAACTCAAAAACTCATTTGTTCAAGGGTAAGACCTACCATGCAATAGATAATCAATTTTTTTTTCCATCTCTTTACTAAAAGATTTTCCTCCCTTCCTTGCCACAGTGGATTGTTGGAGGGTGCTCTGGTGTGGTTTGCTCCTTCTTTCCTTTCAAACATCTATTGTCCTTTTCTCTTTTCCTTCTTTTTTTTTGGCATGTTACTCTCTAGTAACACTTTTAATCGTTAGCGCTTATACAACTTTTTTGTTTTGCAAGTGCTGTAGCAGGCTTACTAAAACTAAAATTACATTTCTTTTCACAGAGAAAGAGTCTTGTGGAGTAGACATGTTCACCTGTTTTGACGGCCGCTGTATTAACTTTGAGTTCCGCTGCGACAATGAGTACGACTGTACAGATCACTCAGATGAGGTAGGGATGTGACCTTTTTTGTGTGAGTGATAAAAAAGCAGAGTTTTCTGGACAGAGTGTTTATATATGTACTCTGCTGAGTTTCATGATGTCAGTAAGTGATTTGATTTTTTATATTTATTCAGTATTTGAAACTATGCCTTTTAAAGGAGCAGGGGTGAGCCTTTTCCAAAGCTACAAGGTCTTGATTGTTCACCATCCATTTTGTTGAACTGTTTTGTATAGGATGGATTTAATACTACTCTCTACAAGAGGACTGCAATTAAGCAAATTTATTCAGTTTTTTTGTTACATTTAAAAAAAAGAAAGTAATTAAATGTACTACTCACTGTCAGTTACATGCTTTGCGACTTACATTGCTGTTTCCAAAGTAAGCACTCACCAAAGCATTTGTGTGTGGTTGGCCTAGTAGTAGGTCTCACTACTGTCTGGTTCTTTTATTGTTCCTGTCTGTTTGTCTGTCGTAATTTACCTTATACTCAATGACCATTATATCTGTATTAAGGTGATGTGCTCCTCATTACTCAAGCAAACAAACCACTCCATTTCTAGTTTCCCATCCTCTCCATGTGTTGTAATTGTTGCTGTTGTCGTTGTCTTTCAGCTCAACTGTGACCACTGGTGTGATCCAGTGCGAGAGTTCAAGTGCGTCAACGACAGCTTCTGCTTGTCCCAGATTTTTGTCTGTGATGGAGAACGCAACTGTCGTGACGGCTCGGATGAACTCGACTGTGGTAGGTAGCCTTCTCGCCTCCTTTGTCTTGTGTGGTTGGACTGACTTTATTGCATTTATCTTGAGAGCATATTGTTCTGTGAAACTTTGTGTTACCGTACTTTTTGAGGCACAGAGTGAGTGAGTGCACAGGAAGAAAACTAATGGGAGGAGTTTTGTGGGTGGTGGGTCTATGGGGATGGGGAAGGGGGGTTATTTTGATTGGTGTCTGTGCTTTGTGCTTTCAAAATTGACATTCCTGGTGTGATGATAACTGGCCATGTATTTCTTCTATAATTTCCCCTCAACTTCTGCACTGTTCATTGTCCACAGAGATCCATAAACACCCATGTCACAGTGATGAGTTTGCTTGCCAAGATGGGACCTGTCTGCGCAAAGAATTCCACTGTAACGGAAACAAGGACTGCTTTGATGGCTCCGATGAGTTTGATTGTGGTAAGCCCTGATGTAGGGGGCTATTTATAGATTGTTTGCTTCATTTGTTATCTGCTTGTGTGAGTGAGTTATGTATGAGTAGTTTATGAGTATGTAAGTAATGTTTGAGTGAGTGATGTATGAGTGATGTATGAGTTTGTTAACAGTGGACCCAAAATATATTCACATAGCTGTACAGACACAAACACAGACTCGCCCTCGGGGACACACACACACACACACACGCACACGCGCACGCGCACGCGCACACGCATGCACATACACATGCACACACACAGACATAAGGGCAGTTTGTTGAAATGGTAGGAGACATAAGGGCACACATACACATACACAAACACATAGACATACATACACACACATATCCAAAAGTTTATCAGTGTTTCTTGTCATTGGCTTGTGAGTAATGTATGATTAATTTGTGAGCTCCTGGGTGTGAGTACAAATTAATGTGAGTTTTTGGGTGTGATATGTGCGAGGGAGAGAGAGAGGGAGGGAGAATCTATGTGGTGTTAAATTCTAAACAGATCCATGCAGTTCCTCAGTGTAATCATTCGTCAGTTTTACCAGTGTTATATTAAGTTTGTGACAGTCTCTTGTACCCTTATTTTCCTATCTCTGCTGTAGCTAGATACATACAGTTGGCAGCCGGTTCTATTTTGTCTACTGTCCTTCCAGCCAAAAACATATCTCTGAGCTCGAGGACGTGCCATGCCACAGAGGTACTGTGTGACGACGGGTCCAAGTGTATCCCATCCTGGTGGAGGTGTGACAGAGATCTTGACTGCCCTGACCACTCGGACGAGAAGGACTGCGGTGAGTGCCTGTTATCTGCTATCTGTTGGTACATATGACAGCCTTAAGTTGGTGTCTGTTAGATCTTTGACAAAGGGCAACTGACCACAGTTTTTAATGATTTCAATTCTCTGTCAGACGTAACTTCTTTACCTGTAGTCATAATTACCGTTTGATTTCCAAAAGACGGCAGTCTTTTTTGACTCTTTGTTCCCTGACCTCCTGAGGTGACCGAGTACCTCTGCCTGAACTCCTGAGCTATATATTACTAACATTCATATGATTGTCAGAATCACATTCCGTATGCTACTCATAGTAGTCCTTGTCATTACTAACATCAAATTAAGAAAGATCTTCAAAAATAATCAATAACTTTCTGTGTAGTAAACACGGTTTCCTGTGTGATATGATTGCCTACAATACGAAACTAAACTAGGAGTAACTAACGACTCTCATACTACGCATGCGCATACCTTGTATTGCCCTAGGTTACCTAGACTTCGTAGATAAACAAGGCTACTTGCTCAACGTATGTTCCACTCTCACTGTCTACAATCTAGACGTATATCATATCATTACACTGTGTGTGTTTTCTCCCAGGCAGGCTAGGTTTGGGATATTGTAGTTTTTAACCGCCACCAGTTTAACGGTGACTTAGGCTCAAAGGGTTAAGCTGAAAATTAAATGCTCTTTTTGCATTTTATTCAAGTGACAGGAGGACGCAATTGCTATTTGTTTTTTCTTCTTTATCCCTGTGTTGTTTTGGCCTGTTTTCCTAGCATGAAAAGTACATCATAAACTTGCCATTTTAAAAATTCAGTATGGTTCTCTTATTTCCACCTTAAAAATTTGTATGGTTGGATGGCACCATCTCCCACTTCTTTCATCATCATATTTTCTCAACCTGTATCTGTATCAGAGTATAGGCCATTAAGAAGAATTCTCCGTCTACTTTTATCCTGAGCCATAGTCTCCACCCATTATTCTTTATTTTATATCTTTTGTTTCTGTCTGTTTTGCTTTTTCTCGGCACAAAGTGTCCATTTTTGTATCAGTGTAGCTCTCTTTACTGAAACTCAAACCATAAGAATAAGCAACACCTCCCCCCTCCCCCCTAATTAATGTATCTTTACTTCTGTCCTCCACCCCTACAGTCAAGGAATGTGTGCCGCCAAACTTTGCTTGTGTGAAGCACCCAAACATTTGCCTGCCTCCGGAACGTCTATGTGACAGCAAAAATGACTGTCCTGACTACTCTGACGAGGGAAGACTTTGTGGTATGCATACTGATAGAAACCACATGTTTTGTGTTTGTAATTGTTCATTTCGACTCCTGAGTATACCATTGCCATATGTCATTTTGAAAAGTGGCTTATGACGGAGTCGTAAACTTATCAGCTGATTTATGGATTGGGCATATTCTGAGGAAGCCAGGCAGAGATGTAACAAAGAACCTGGAGAAGAGTCACAGAAAATGATGTACAGTAAAGTGGGAAGACATGGAATGATATCAAGAGGCTAATTTGAGATAGGGTAATGTGAAAAGTGTTTGTTTATGGCCTATTATGCCCTGATCCAGGATGGGGAAGGCATTGGTTATCATAACAAATTGTGCTTGTTCCTACTAGCTGCAGGTGTGAATCATTTGTGGTTTCTACGAAATATATAAGATAAGATAAGATAAAGATAAGATACATCTTTATTGTCCAGATCCTGGCACGTTGGTTTGGTGTTTCACCACGTGTACACACACAGACACACACACATACACAGACACACACACACACACACACACACA